GAGACTGATATGAGAACGACATGATGAGTTGAGAATAGAATAAAAATGAAATGAAGGGGATGGAATAAGATGAGAATGAAATGAGAAAGAAATGCCAAAGATGAATGCAATTAAAATGAAATTGACTTGATGAGATTGTAACGAAGCGGATACAACTGAAATGGATGAGCTGAGAATTAAATGAGGGAGAAATGATTAAGATGAGAATGGAATTGAGATGATAATGGCAGTCATAAGATCACAGAGATCAGCATGAGATGAATTTGATTATGTTAAGATGTAAATTCAAATAAGGTAAAGAGAATAAAATACAAAGGAACAAATAAGAGATGAATGAGATAAAACAGGAGATGCATAAAGCAAACCGGAGAGCAGAGAAATAGCTCAGCTGTCGAGTAGACTAATAAAAATGATTATAGAATTAGGCTGTAGCTGCGGGCTGAGACTGGATCAATATCTAACCACTGGGCCTCTTATTCCCCTGCTAGCTGCAGCATATTACTCGGTTTAACTGCAAAATAGCCTTGATTATACCGTGCCATGTGTGGGCATGTGGAAAATCACTGTCTGTTTAAGTTAGTGATTTTCTTTATGTTTAGGAATAATATAAATATTAATAGCATTATTGTTGTTTTTCCCCTCTTTGTGCCAAACCATTTCATCTTCTAATCAGTCAGCATTTATTTTCTATGTGTAATAATTCTCAAAAAACAGATTAGCATGACACAGAAAGTATAAATTAGTATTAGGAGACAGCTTTAAGCTAAAATGGTTTAGTAAATTACGGTCCCATTTAGAGTAAAATAGTCAGTTCAGGGTGTGGCTACCTTGTGAACAATGTGAGGCTACCACTGCAGTGTTCGGTCTGGGAGTTGTCTGTGTTTTCACCTAAGAACTTTAACCCTTTCACAGTGTGTTTTCAGTTGCTTTAATTGAGCCTGGTGGAAATAAAAGCATTAGTGACCACTTATGAAATATAGGTTTGTTTACCCTGCACTGCAGCGAGATTATGACAATGTCAGGAGTTCACATGAAAATAACGGAATCACTTCTCACACAAAAGTCTATCTTGTCAGGCTTCAGGTAATGTGTTTGTGTCCAGTCAGCCAAAGCACTGACCAATCGGTGTCCAGGGAGGAGCTAGTGGCAGCTAGGTGTGAGAAGAGAGAAGAGACAGAGAGACGAATGTTCGTTTCAAATAACAGTGACGACTCCTGAAGAGGTTAGCGTAGATGCTGCAAGTTATAACACAACTGGAAAGTATTTCTTTATTGAAAGAATAGCAAAGAACTGCACTAAAGGCTTTTTTATTGCTCTTCTTCTGATTCGCTTCGGTAATAGTTTGATTGACAGATGGTTCATAAGATCACCTGCCCCGTATTTATTTTTAAACTCCTGCCCTTTTTTAAATAGTTTCTAATGACAGCTTCTAAATAAATTCAAACTATACTCGACTTCTAGATGTATTTGACCTTCAAGATGTAAAACGCTATCTTTTGGCCAATAAAACCAAAAAATAAACTACACTTGTATATATATCAGTGGCGGGCCGTGCATTTAATACCTGGACCTTCACTGCTGTCCTGCAGCTGAAATACCACCTTATAACCACATTGTGGCGGAGCAGCTGTTATTCATTTTTAAGGCTGTAACTATGTACATCTTCGTATTAAACCGTTCAGTACGAGTCGTCTGAATAATGATTGCATTTAGAAAATGCAAAAGCCTAAATTCAGGAAAATATAATGTTCTCAGCTGGTCTGGCTGTGGGATCCACAGTCATTCCTTAATGACAAGCTGCAACCCAAAGAGATTAACATAGGATTTTACTTTCACAATTTGAGCGTTGATCGTACTGCTCTGCAATGTCTTTCCTCGGCTCAGGTTCCTCTATCATGGTGCATCTCACTCAGTCAGAATGCATTTTGATTGGCTGAGCTGCATCATGTGATTCACTACCCATCAGCCTCTGCTGGCTGTTAAGTTTCGTTTCACGATAGTCACGTGCTCGCCCACTGACCAATCACAGCACACTCTGTACCTCGCGGGAAAGCTACACACGGACACTGAGCGGCATGTAATGCTGACGTCATTATAGGCCGGCGCGCAGGCTCTGATAGTCAAAGAATACGCCCAACATGTCAAACTAAAGATCTGATTGGTTGAACACTATGACAATCAACAATATCGTCCCCATTCACTTTAATCTGCACTGGATGCATTTGAGACTCTGCAGGCCTCGGGCCTCTCTTCTTACCTAGAGACACAGAGGTGAAATCTGATTGGATAAAAGCTCTACTTAAAACAAGCTGCACTGCAAGCAGAGCAACTGAGGAAGACAGTAGCTGTGCAATGAGAAAATAAGATAATGGGAAAAATATTTTTATAAATTATAATACATGTAATGTATTTAAGAAAAATTATTAAATTATAAAATAGATTTTTTATTTTTTTATTTTTTTATTTTTTTTAATATATATAGCTTTGTGATTCTGTTTAGGCCAGCAGAGAAGGCCTTGCAGGCCCTGACGGCCCGCCACTGATATATATAATATAATGCTTTATGATTTCTTAAGAATTTCAACAATTGTAATATAAATTAGAACATTAAAGTCATCCTCCCCTTTCTAACTTTAACTAAAATGTTATAAACAGTTAGGGCCCTCTGTCATAACACAAATGAGTAATTCAGCTCAACAGACAGTGTGTTAAAACTGCAGTGGGCAGGATTTCTACTGTTCCAAAACAATAGAGGCCAGAAATGTAGTTTAACGAGCCATAAATCTCAGCAGCTGCTGAAGAGACTTCGAGCTACTAGCAGGCCTATCAATTAACAGCCCTGACCGCATATTTGTTCACTTTCTACTTTGGCTTTTTATACACCCTACTGCCCCTTTAAGGTCATTTGAAATTCTTTGTGCACCTGTTACCATATAAACTGAGCAGAATCATTTGAATTGTTTGGCCTTTTTAGGAGAAGAGCTGCCATCTGTGAGCTGTAAACTCCAACAGCTAGTGTGTCATGACATCCCCGGCTGCCAGCACGATCAGATCACACACAAGCACACAAATGTTCATCATCACTCTGACACAACCCTATAAGGCAAGTGCCCTGCTTTGAAGCACAAAGCACACACACACACACACACACACACACACACACGCACACACAGAGCTTATCATGTGAATAGAAGAAGAACCCAGCTGGATCCTCTCAGCAGAAACTGATAAGCAGCTATAAGAGGAGAAATGAAATGAGTCTATTTCAAACTGAGAATGAAGCTACAGTTATCCATCAGGTGTTATCGGGTATCAAAGAGACTGAGATACACAACCTAACCAAAACATGTTTTTTTGGCATTGTACAGTAAATATACATTTCATAAATATGTCTCATATCATGAGCCTCTTATTATGCTTGCAGAAACACACAATGTCACATGGTTGTGAAACGATTAAGGCAACAAATCTACTTGTTTTGTGTTCAAATAATAATGCATCAACCGTAAGTAACAACCATAACAATGTAACAAGTGTAAAAAAATAACAACCAAAGATTATTACGTTGCAGGGACAGCAGTCTCCTGTGAAAGTCCTGTTTGTTTGACTCCTCCCACCAGCCATTAGTGGACTTTCTTGCGTGGTATACTCGTTAGAATACCACATAACTTTCAATAACGCTCGCTCAATATAGTCACTTGTTCTGCACTTCACTCGTAATACTACATAACTGGCTCTGACCGAATGCAAAAACATTCAACAGATTTGCAGAAACATGCAAAGACAACATTCTTTTCTGGTGAGAGTCAAACTTTGCAACAGTTACAAACTTATATAAACGTAGGTATTTGGTAAGAATGCAGCAGAAAGTTGCAGCAGCTTTTCGTTAGTTCAAAGGCAGTTTTAATGCATGAAACATGTATCAGTGTCCATTATACAAATGTTCATTGTGCCTTTATTCAGACATGGCAAGACATTTATAGAAGTAGCCTCAATGCTTGCAGAATATTTGGCACCTGGTACATGGAGAGGACAGTGAGTTGAATAGTATGGAAGCAATAACTGTCGTAATTGCGAGGGACACTTGGCCTCATTGTAAATCCACGAATCAATTTTCTCATCAATTTCAACATTTATTAGACAGAGACTATCTGCTGGCTGTTATATGATGTCTGTCAGTGCATAAGCATAAAATGACATAACATTAATTTTGCTGATGTGCGATAATCATTAATGAGAGCTTTAAATATGGTGAAGGAGCACTTTCTGATGATTATTGTGATTGTACAAAACCACTACTACCTCTTATGCCCTACGCCATTAGGAGAATATAAATTGTGATGTATTCCTTACAGTGGTGTAAGAAGGCAAGGTTTTCTACCTTCACTACATTTAATCTCCAATCCAACCCACCCAATGTCATCAAGCTTTTAATAATCAAAACACAACAGCTAATGGCTCATGCTGTTATCTCATTGGCCTGTCAACGTCACCTCTGCTGAATGTTTCAATGAAAGAGATCAAGAGTTGGAAATCTCTTTTTAGTTTGGTAGAAATAAATGTGCACCTGCTGTGTGAAAGTTCATAACAGGAAGCACCATGTGGAGTATCATTTGTCACATGGCAGGGACACGGTTTGAAATCTCTGCACTTTATTTGATAGGAAAGAGGCATCGCGCGACAATGTGTGTTGAGCCTATTAGCCAGATACTGTGCGATAAAAGCTATAAAGACTGGGACAACACTTGTAAATGGGTTCACTAACATCACACCTTCCGAAACAATCTCTTGAAATACAACTTGGATATATATGCAGAAACTGTGTTGCACTGGTTTTTTTTTTGCATATTAATTATACATTAAAATGAACACAATCGCAGAACAAATACATGTAAGGTACAGTTTGTAAGGTGATATATGGCTGTTTGTTTCAAATGCACATGCGGTGAAGGTGCATGTGTGTGTGTGTGTATTTGTGTTTATAACTATAAATTACTTACTGTTATGCTCTTGTTCCTCCTCAACATTTCCCAGGACCATGGCCGGTACGCCAAAGGCTGAAGCCAACACCCACACACAGATATTCACCACCTTGGGACAAGATAACATGATGGTGTTATGTTCACTTGAGCTTAACATTTTAGAGGTAGTATTTTTTTTCTTTCTCACTTTACTGAGCAATTAAAAACACTGTTCAAATGCACATCAGTGAACAATCACAACAGTATCATAGCAGGAAAAGCTCAGTTATAACTTTAATTATTCTAACAATTTCTCTGTTACACTCGGATATTCAAGTAAGCCAGGAGAGTTAGCCAGCATACACAATACCAGTACCCTCTAACTGGTAACCCTCAATGGAATGCTTCTATTTTTGAGTTTGATTCCACAAAATTTTACACCAGGAGTAAGGATGGAGCCCTTTACCAATTTAGCATTGTACACCTATTACACTGTCAGACTCGTGATGAACAAGAACAACCTGGCCTTCATTTTCCACAATTCACACAGGCCTCTGACTGTTGTAGCTATGATGTATAGTAAGTAGAGATGAGGAGCAGACTACAGTGGTCTGGTAAGCTAACTTCTGTTTAACTCAACACCTAATTTTCAAGCTTGTGTTCTGCACAAGCTCCCAAAAAAGGGCCAGGCTTTAAAACCAATCTTTTTAGTGGCCAAACCGTGGAATCAGAATAGCAGGGTCCATCACATGATACCATTGGACCCAAAATGAAATAGCATACACTTTCTTTTTTTCATATCCTCATATGTACATAGATATCCACACAGAATACAGTTCATGGCAATATATAGAAGTATAAATAGACCACAAACTTGTGGGTCATGTAACTCCAGATTTAGTTTTTATTTACCATAATTACTGCAAAAAAATGAATTGTTTCATGTGCAGTAAATGCACGAGACAATGCTATATTGAAAACCTGCTTACTGGTGACTAGTACACATGCAATATAAAAAAACTGACAGGCCCTGTATCTGTTTATCTTTTTTTCAGTTTCCCATCATGACAACAGCACACACAGAGTCAGGTTAAAGGATTGGTATGATGATGTGACTGAAATCTGACCGGCTATCAGCAGTCATTTCAGGGACAATAAGGGTGGATATCGCACTTTGAAATGAAAACGGTTTTACCTTGGCCTTGTGAGGAGTCCTCATGTCCAGCGCTTTGACAGGGTGGCAGACTGCCACGTACCTATCCATACTCATCACTGTCAGGGTGAAGGTGCTGGTGAACATGTTATAGTAGTCGATAGACACCACCGCCTTACACAGAGCGTTCCCGAATGGCCAGAAGCCCAGGAACACATCGGTTCCCTGGAAATATCCGGATATCAAAGAACGAACATATGAATAAAGCTTGAAGCTAGAACAACTCCTCTGTAATATGACTTTGGACAGTTAGCAGTTTTCGATATACAGTCAGGGCCATAAGTATTTGGACTGTGACACAATTATTCTAATTTTGCCTCTTTACATGACTCCAACGGATTTGAAATTAAACAGTCAATACGTGACTTTCAGCTTTAATTCAATGGATATACAATATCACAATAACCATTTAGGAATTACAGCCATTTTTACACAGCCCCCACATTTTCAGAGGCTCGAAAGGCTCAAAAGTAATTGGGCAAACTAAAATAATTGTGTAATCATATAATCATTATTTTTAATACTTTGAGGACAATCCTTTGTAGTCAATGATTGCCTGAAGTCTGGCACCCATAGACATCACCAGACGCTGAGTTTCCTCCCTTGAGATGCTTTGCCAGACCTTTTACTGCAGCCTTCTTCAGCTGCTGCCTGTTTGTGGGTCTTTCTGCCTTCAGTTTTATCTTAAGTAAGTGAAAAGCATGCTCACTTGGGTTCAGATCAGGTGACTGACTTGGCCATTGAAGAATATTCCATTCCTTTGCCTTGAGAAGCTCTTGGGTTGTTTTCACAGTATGTTTTGGGTCATAATCCATCTGCACTGTGAAGCGCCGTCCAATCAGTTTTGCAGCATTATGCTGAATCTGAGCAGATAGTTTAGCCCTAAACACTCATCCTGCTACTTCTATCAGCTGTGACATCACCAATAAACACCAGTGACCCAGTTCCATTGGCAGCCATACAGGCCTATGCCATAGCACTGCCTCCACCATGTTAGACAGATGATGTGGTTTGCTTTGGATCATGAGCCGTTCCTTTCCTTCTCCACACTTTTCTTTTCCCATTATTCTGGTAAAAGTGAATCTTAGTTTCATCTGTCCAAAGAATCTTTTTCCAAAACTGGTCAGGCTGTTCAGATGTTTTCTGGCAAAGTCTAATTGAACCGTTACCAGTGGTTTGCACCTTGTTGTAAACTCTCTGTATTTAGATTCATGAAGGCGTCTCTCGATTGTAGACTTCGATAATGGCACGCCTACCTCCTCCAGAGTGTTCTTGATTTAGGAAGAAGTTATGAAGGTTATATATTCTGCAACCATCCACTTTAGATGTCTTCCATGGTCTTCTGGGCCTTTTGGTGTTGGTGAGCTTGTCAGTGCATTCCTTCTCTTTAAGAATGTACCAAACTGTTTAATTGGCCAATCCTAATGTTTCTGCTATCTGACTGATAGGTTTGTTAAGATTTTTCAGACTAATAATGGCCTCCTTCACTTGCATTGACACCTTTTTGGTCCGCATGCTGAGAGTTCCAAGGACCAGCTACCAAATGCAAATTAAACATTTTGAATCAACTCCAGACCTATTATCTGCATCATTTGTCATGAAATAGTGACAGAACAGGCCACACCTGTCTATGAAGCCGTTTGTCAGATAATTCTGTAATTACTTTCAAGCCTCTGGAAATGTGGGGGGCTGTGTAAAAATGGCTGTAATTCCTAAACGGTTATTGTGATTTTTTTTTTGTTATATCCATTAAATTAAAGCTGAAAGTCTACACTTCAACCACATATTGACTGGTTAATTTCAGATTTACCAAACAACATTCTGACCAGTGACACTGCTTGACAAGGTACAAAGCAATGAATCCCTCAAATGATGATGATGTTTTCATATAAATCATAGAACAATTTGTGTGTATGTTACTATGTAAAAATTATGGAGTACAGTACGCTAACCTAATCTCACTGGAGGAAAAGTTGCATTCGGAAATCTTGCATGAGAGAATGTGCACGAAAGACTTTGTTGTCTTGGAGTACAGAAAGTGTAGCTCAGCATCATCTAAAATATATTCTATGTTATGGCTGAGGGCTAACCCCCTCTTGAGATTTGAGAAAGAGACTTCTCTTTGAGCAAGACACACAATAATAAACAGGATCAAGCGATTTAGACACAAAAATGTAAAAAATGGGTCCAGGTTGAAAATTACAGACGTTAACTTTAATGCCATTTTAAGATTAGGCAAAAATAATAGTTCAGGAAACAGTGTAAAAAGTTAAGGGCGATACTTTTAAATACTTGTGTAATATGTGTAAGTCATACCTGGAAAGGTAAAGTAGCCAGGAACAAAGAGTCAGCAAGAGCCAGGTTAAAAATGTAGATGTTAGTGGCCGTTTTCATCTTTGTGTATCTGAGGAGAGAGAAAGCACAGCAACACAGAAGTTCAGTCAAATGATGAAGCTTGAGCACGGCAGCTCACTTCACTGTAGGTCACACACACATTTAACACCTTAATCAAGAGTCTGCAGCCAAGTCCAGCCTGCTTGACAGACAGAGACATCTGTGGGGCGGCAGGTGCTTAGTACCATTAGATTACACAGTGTCTTTGTGAGGTGCTGCTGCTAAAATTGCCACTTTAACGTGTGCAGGTTTTGAGACTAAAAAGACGGTCTAGCATCAGACTACAAAAAAAAAAAAAAGGTGAGGTGGTCTCGTTCAGGTGTGGACTCGGCAGCAGCCTGATGTGAAACTGTAGTCTGTGTTGCTACTTTCTGTGGTCTTCTTGTTTCCGCTGTCTTGTTTCTGATAGTTCTGAGTTATCTGTTGGTGGATTGCAGGGAGTACTCCAGGTGGTGGTCCAGTGTATGTCTTGCCCTGAGGGTTCCCTCCTATTTTATCTTGCTGGCTTGTCTCTCTCCATAACTTTTTTTAACATGATTTTTTTCTTTTAATATACACACACACACACACACACACACACACACACACACACACACACACA